AGGTACTGAGCATCATTTTCCAAGCTTCCTTAGATGGTGCCAGCGGACTGAAGAACTGCAAATATTATACCCTTTGTTGTAAAGGGTAAACCCAGCAACCACAAACAGTAGATTGGACTTGGTCAGGAGTCTTTTTTTTTAAACAGCAAGAATCCTAGATAGAGTTAAATAATTTGCTTAAGTAATTTGAAGTGTATTGATTAAAAGCACGTAGAGATGTGTTAAAAGCAAATTGGGCTCAACTAACTTCATTGAGTTTTTTTTGAAGTAACCAAGAATGTTGATAAATGCAATGTGTTTGCTGTATTGTATATGGACTTCCATAGGTGTTTAATAAAGTGCTGTGTTGATATGTCAGTGCATTTGAAGCAAATGGAATACAAAGATAGTTGGCAGGAAACAAAGTAGTGGTAAACAGCAGATTCTTGTACTGAAGAAAGGTATATGTTGGTGTTCTCCAGTGGTTAGTACTTTGGCTTTTCATGATGCATATTGTGTTAGAGGTGATCATTTCAAAATCTGAAGATGGTATAAAATTGGAAATGCTGTATCGTTTGTGAAGGATAGTGGTAGACTTCCAGAGAATTAAGACAGCTTGGTGGAATGGGCAGGCGTACGGCAGTTGAAATTTAACATTAAAGTGGAAAAGAGAGCTTCTAATTTCTTCTTGGGCTGTTGGTGGCGTTGGCTTGGCCAGTATTTATGCTATCACTGCCTTTGAGAAACTAGTAGTGAGCTAGCTTCTTAAACCACTGCAGGCCGTGGGAAGTAAGTATGCTGCTAGAAAGAAATTTCCAGGATTTTGATCCCCTGAAAGTAAAAGAAAGCAATCTAGTCATGGTATATAGTTTGGAGAACTTGCAGGTGCTGGTATTTCCAAGCCACTGTTGCTGATGATGGTTAGCCCAGGACAATACCTGAGGAATTCCTGCAGTAATGTCCTGGGACTAAGGTGATTGATCACCAGCAAGCCCCAACCATCTTCCTTTATGCTGAGTGTGAAAAACTAGAAGTTTTTCTCCTGATTCTCACTGATTCTAAATTTTGCTATGACACGTTGGTACTACACTTAGTCAGATTCTGCATTGTCAAGTGTCATTCCTCTTGCATCTTTTCCGAAGTACTCTTGATTCAGGAAGGTTCCAAGAAATTGAAATGTAGTAAACAAAACTCCTCTATACAAAAGGGAGAGAGGAAGGCAGAAAACATGAAACTCTAGACAGTTAGCTTGACAACTTCACGGAAGGTGTTAGAAAGAGATTATAGATGCACACTTTGGAAGAACCCAAGGTGATCAGGAAGAGTCAGCATAGTTTTGTCAAGAAGAAATCCTGTTTTAACCAATTTATTAGAGTTCTTTTGAAGGAGTAGCATGCACTGAGTAAAGGGGAGACTATAGATGTACTGTACTTGGATTTCCAGAAAGGATTTGATAAGATGCCACATCCAAGGTTGTTGTAGAAAATTAAAAGCTCGTGGTGTAATGGGTAATCAATTACCATGGATAGAAGATTGACTGGTTGGCAGAAAATGCAGTGTTGATTTGGGTCATATCGGATTGGCAGAATGTGACAAGTGGAGTCCTAAAGGGTTTGTGCTGGTACCTCAACATTTTGCAATTTGTATCAATGACTTGGATGAGGAAATAGTTTTGGTAGCTAAATTTGCTGATGACGCATAGCTAGGTAGAAAACTAGCTTATGATGAAGATATAAGGCTGTAGGTGGCAATAGACAAGTTGAATGAGTGGGTGAAATTCTGCCACATGAAGTATAATGTGGAAAAATGTAAAGAGTTTCACGTTGGCAGGAAGACTTTAAAAGGCATGGTATTTCTTAAATGGAGGGTGACTGGAATTCTGAGGTGTCAAGGGATTTGAGGGGTCTAGTGCATGAGTTACACACTGCTAGCATTCAGGTACAACATGTTTCATGTAGGTCAGTGGGATGTTGTCCTTTATGTGAGGAATTAAACATAAAAGTAAGGAGATTATGCTTCAGTGGTACAGGGCATTGGTGAGACCACATCAAAAACTGTGTGCAGTTTTCCTCTCCTTAATTGAGGAAGGATGGAAATACATTAGAGGTGGTTCAGAAGTGATTTATTAGATGGATAACTAGAATGAGTGTGTAATTGAATGGAGTGAGTTTGGAGAGACTAGGGTTTGTTACCGCTGGAACCTAGAAGGGGGCAAACACCTTGTTTGAAGTGCATAAAGCCTTGTATGATCTTGACAAGGTGAATGCGGGAAGGCTGTTTCTTCTTACGGGTTAGTTCAGAATGAAGAGACACTGTTTAAAAGTTAGGGATTGCTCTATTAGAATAGAAATGAGGAGAGATGTTTTGGGGTTGTGCAACTTTGAAACTCTGCCTCTGACGTGGTAGAAAATAGGTAGGATAATTAATTATTTTTAAGGCAGAGATAGATGGACACGTATAAGGCAAGGGAATTTAAAATTATTGTGGGTAGATAGGAATATGAAATTTGAAACACAGATTGGCCACAATCTTATTGAATAGCAGATCAGTTTTAAAGGGAAGAAAGGCTTATTTCAACTCCTATACGTATGTCACCTCATCCCTGGAGTTCAGTGCTATTGTTCATTTTGACCAGGGCTGTAGTAGAATGGGAAGAAACTGGAGAGCAAAATAAAACTTAAAGGGCCTTTTTGTTTTTTTACAAAAAAAGTGTTGCAGAACTAGAGACATATCATACAGAACATCATACAGCAGGTTGAAACAGCGATCTTAAAAAAAAAATACCATATTTATAAACAGAGGTGCAGAATGCAAAAACAGAGAAGTAATGACAAAAGTTCTGAAACCTTAATTCACCCACAGCTAGAGAACGAGCACCATACTTTCTAAAGCAAGTGAAGGTCTCCGAGAAAGTACTGAATGGTTTCAGGGTTGGGTGGGACCTCAGTTTGCCAAGAAATTGGAAAAGCTGGTGTTACACTCATCAGAGCAATGATGGATGAATTGATGTATTCAAATTCGAGGGATCTAGACTAAGTACTTTGAAATGATTCCCAGTGGTGGGGGGGGATCTATGACCAGAGGAGCAGGATTTTAAGGTTATTGATAGTAGAATCAAAGGCAGCATGAGGAAAACCTGTTTGTCCAGTAAATAGTTATGCACTGATTGAAATGGTGATAGTGCTGCGCTTTTTATTCAAAAAGGAATTGATAAATATTTAAAGGAAAAAGAAATGTAGGCTTATGTGGGAGGTCGGGGGGAAGGTAAGGGTGGGTAAGTGAGACTAATACTTTGCTACAGGTTGTCATGTGTCATAGATCTGACTACCTTCAGTTGCTTCATCAATGACCTTCCTGGCATTGTAAGGTTAGAAGTGGGGGGTGTTTGCCAATGGTTGCACAAGTTTCCTGACCATTCACAGCTCCTCCAGATACTTGAAGCAGTCAATGTCCAAGTGCCGCAAGACGTGGACAATGTTCAGACTTGGGTTGACAACTGGCAGTGAACATTCAGGACACAAAACTGCCAGGCAATAACCATGCCCAACAAGAGAGAATCTAACCATCGCCATTTGACATTGACTGAATACCCTACTATCAACATCTTACTATTGACCAGAAACTGAACTGAACTAACCATATAAATACTGGGTTACAAGAGCAGGTCAGAGGCTAGGAATACTGTAGTGACTAACTCCCCTCCTGACTCCCCAGAGCCTGTCCACAATCTCCAAGGCACAAGTCAGGGGTGTGATGGAATACTCCCTGCTTGTCTGGATGGGTGCAGTTCCAACAACACTCAAGAAACTGGACACCATCCACAATAAAGCAGCCCACTTGGTTGGCACCACATCCATATAATTCACTCCATCTACCACCCATGCTCAGCAACAATGTGTATCATCTACAAGATGCACTACAGAAATTCACTAAGGCTCTTTGGAAAGCACCTTCCAAATCCATGGTCATTACCATCTAGAATGACAAAGGCAGCCAATTCATGGGAACACCACCACCTGCAAGTTCCCCTCCAAGCCACAAACCATCCTGACTTGGAAATATATCACCATACTTTGTGCTGCTGTGTCAGAATCCTGGAACAAACTCCCTTACACCATTGTGGATCTATCTACACTTAATGGACTACTGCAGTTCAAGTTAGGGTGGTTAAAAAGGCATTTGGCGTGCTTGTCTTCACTGCTCAGTCTTTTGAGTATAGGAGTTGGGAAGTCCTGTTGAGTTTGTATTGGATGTTGGTGAGACCTCTTCTGGAATACTGTGTCCAGTTGTGCTCACTCAGTTATAGGAAGGATATTATTAAGCTGGAGAGGGTTCAGAAGAGATTTACCAGGATGTTGCCACGAATGGAAGGTTTGAGTTATAAAGAAAGGCTGGGGCTTTTTTCACTGGTGTGTAAGAGGTTGAACGATGACCTTATTGAAGCTTATAAAATCATGAGATATAGGTAGAATTAATGGTAGTTGTCTTTTCCCGGGGATGGGAGATTTCAAGACTAGTGGGCACATTTTTAAGGTGAGAGGAAAGAGATGAACAAAGACATGAACAACTTTTTTACACAGAGGGTGGTTCATGTGTGGATGAACTTCCTGAGGAAGTAGTAGATGTGGGTACCATTATAACGGTTCAAAAGACATTTGGATCAGTACATGAATAGGAAAGGTTTGGAGGGATTATGGGCCAGGAGCAGGCAGGTGGGACGAGTTTAGTTTGGGGTGATGTTAGACATGGACTGGTTGGACCGAAGGGTCCATTTCCCTGCTGTATGACTCTAAGAAGGCAATTCAGCAGGACCACCTCAGTAACAACTAGGGATGGGCAATAAATGCTGATCCATCAAGTGACACCCACATTCCATGAAGGACTTTTTAAATATTGTAGAGAGCTGGCATGGACATGCTAGACCAAATAGCATTCATATTCACTGTAGCCATTCTGTGATTCTATAACTCTATGAATAAGTAATGTCCACCCCCACCCCATTTCTTTCCCCTGCCTTTCAGGTATTCTTCTCTGCTTACATCTTCAACAGCAATGTGATGGTGAAGGTGGCCACTCAGCCTGCTGACAATCCTTTAGATGTGCTATCAAGAAAACTTCATTTGGGACCTAATGTTGGACGGGATGTTCCTCGCCTGTCACTACCTGGAAAATTGGTGTTTCCAAGGTGAGTCATAAGATCTGATATCTTGGGTCTGATAGGGATATTCTCAGGATGAATTCTTGTCATATACTGTAGGCATTGCTTATTTCCTATGGTAATATTAAACAGTCTTCAAAAAAAAATGAAATAAAATTGAAAGTGCTATAGAAACTCAATAGGTCTAGCAGCAGCTATGGAAAGAGAAACAACATTTAACTTTTCAAGTCCAATGTGACCCTCTTTTTGAAACTGAAAGGGGCTGGGAAAGTGGTTGTTGTTATGTGGAAAAATGGGGGCGGGGAGGAGAAAGTGGAACTGCTGGTAAGTGTCCCTAAAAACAAAAAAAGGCAAAAAGACTGTTAATGGAAGTAGGAAATAGTACAGATGCTGGGTAGATGTTAATGGTAGGTGCTTAAGTAGCAAATAGTTCAGCTCTCCTGAGAGCAAGCCCATACAGATAAAATACTAGGTGAGTATTTGGACAGGGGATCAAAATGACTTCCACAGTTCATGGCCTGAAGTTATTGAATTCACTGCTGAGTACTGAAGGCTGTAAAGTGTTCATATAGAAAATAAAGTGCTCTCCTAAAGCTTGTATTGAGCTTCACTGGAGTATTACAACAGACCTGCGACAGAAATATTAGCCTTGGAGCAAACTGGTGTATTGAAATGGCAAGCAGTGGGAAGATCAGAATCATTCTTGTGTTCTGAGCAAAGATGCTTCACAAAGTAGTTATCCAGTCAGCATTTAGTCTCTCCATGTTAGAGGAGACTGCATTATGATCAATAAGTGTGGAGGATTAGATTGAAACATAGTAGACTAGTACAAGGAAATCATTGCTTCCTCTGAAACGTGTATTTGGGGCCTTAGACAGTGTAGGGGGATGAAGCAAAGAAACATGTCTTTCTGTAATTGCATAGAGGGTGCAGTTGGGAATGAAGGAGTGGACCAGGGCGTAAGGAGGTGGGTAGGAACAAAGAAGAGAGACTGCAACACACTGCAGACTGCTCATGGGAGGAGATGATGTGTTTGGTGATGTTCAAAAATGGAGGAGAATGATCATTTGAATGTAGAGTCTAGTAGACTGGAAAATTAGGACAAGAGGAACACTCACTGCTTTGGAAGTAAGGGAAAGGGCTGAGGGCAAAATATGGATCCAGCATGGCTGAGGTCCCTATCAACTGTGGTGGTTGTCTTTGGCCAAGTTAAAAAGGAAAGCATGTCATAACCCCTATGGAAAGAATCTCCGGAGATGGTGGATGAACTGATAGTAGTCTTCCAAGAATCCTTAGACTTTGGAAAAGCCCAAGATGGTTGGAAAACTCCATCTAACACCTTTCCTTAAAAGAGAAAGGAGATGAAAGTAAAGATAACTATAGGCCAATTAGGTTAACATCTGTTATTGGGAAAATGTTGGAATCTGTTATAAAGGATGTAATAGCAGAGCGTTTAGAAATACATAACATAATCAAGCAGAATCTGCATGGATTCATGAAGGAGCAGTCATACCCGATAAATTCCTCAATTCTTTGAGAATATAACAAGCAGGATAGATAAGGGGGAATCACTAGATGTAATATGTTTGGATTTTTGAGGTGTTTGATAAGTTACTCCTAATTAGGCTACTTAATAGGACATGAGCCCATTGTGTTGGAGGTAGTTTATAAGTATGGACAGAGGATTGGCTAATTAATAGAAAACAAGGAGTTAGGGTAAGGGCTGCATTTTCAGGATCACAACCTGTAACCAGTGGAGGGCCACAGGAATTGCTGCTGGGGCCACAACTATTTAAAATATGTGTTAATCACTTGAATGAAGAAAGTGAATGTACTGTAAGCAAGTTTGCAGATGATGCAAATATGTGGAAAGTCAAGTGTTGAGGATGATGCACAGTGTTGGAGAGGGATATAGATAGTTTAAGTGAATGGATAAAAACTTGACAGATGGAATGTAATGTAGGATAAGGTGAAGTAATGCACTTTGGCACGAAGAACAGAGGAGTTGAATATTATTTAAATAGAGAAAGACCTTGTCCATGAATCACAAAAAATTGTATCCAAGTTTACCAGATACAGGGAAGGCATATGGAATGTTGGTCCTTACTTCAAAGGAAACGGAGTATAAAAATAGAGAAGTTTTGCTAAAACTGTGCAAGGCACAAGTCAGACCACAGCTGGAATACTGTGAATAGCTTTTGGTCCTTTATCTAAGGAAAAATATACCGGCATTGGCAGCCCACAGAAGGTTTACCAGGCTGACACCAGGTATGGAAGGGATTGTCTTATGAGGCGAGGTTGAACCTGTATTCATGGAATTGAGAAGTTTGAGAAACAACCTTATTGAAACATGCAATATTCTTACAGGACTTGACAAGTTAGATTGGAAAGGTTGTTCCCCTTGTGCCTCTTCATAAATTCATGAGTCTAGGGCCAGAGGACATAATCTCAGAACAAAGGGTTACATATTTAAGACAGAGAGGAGGAATAATTTCTTCTGAGGGTAGTGAATTTGTGGAATTCTTTACTTTCGAGAGCTGTTGACGCTGAGTTGCTAAGTATATTTAAGGCTGAGATAGACATTTTTTAATCTGTAAGAGAATCGAGTGTTAAGGCAAGGAAAACACAGGAAAGTGGAGTTGAAGAGTATCATATCAGCCATGATCTCATTGATTGGTTAAAGCAGACTTGATGGACTGAATGACCTACTCCCCTCCTACATCTTACGGTAACGTAATCGGAACAGATGCAGCAGCAACTGAGAAACTGGGAGAATAGAAATGGAATGGAGTTCTTGTAGGAAGCACTGTGTAAGAAAATGTTGGCAAATCAGTAGATTTGTAGTGGATGCTGGCACACAACCTATCCCCAGAAATGGAAACTCGGAAGTCAAGGACGGCATGGGAAAAGTCAAAGATGGATCAGTGAAGATGAGAGAACGATGGAAATTGGAAGCTGAAGTTTTCTAATTCTGGATGAAAGCCGAAAGTAGCACCAATGATGTGTCCTCAGAGTACTGAAGAAAGAGTGTGGGAGTGTGTCCTCAGTTGGATTGGAACAAAGAATGTTCCACACATCCTGCAAATCGATGCTTATAACTAGGGCCCTTGTGAGACAGCGAGATGAGTTAAAGGAGAAATTATTCAAAGTGAGAGCAAGCTTAGCTAAGCCAGAGAGGGTGGTGGTTGCAGAAGGGTACTATTCAAGTCTCTGTTCAGGGAAGAAGCTGAGAGCCCTCCGAATGTCCTGCTGGAGTATGGAGATTTCAAGGGATTGCATGTCAGTGGTGAAGAGGAGGCTTCTGGGGCCAGGAAACTGGAAATTGTCAGAAGATTCACACTTGTAAAGTTAAACAAGTAGAGAAAAAAAAGCCAAGATAGGAAGAAGTAAGTTGCCAGAACTGTTGAGTTTCTCCAGCACTTTGTTTTTATTTCAGATTTTCACCATTCGCGGCATTTGTTTTATTTCTTTAAAGAATTTGTTTTCTGTATGAGCACTGAAGTTACACAAATGAATGAGAGCTGTGGGAAGATTATTTGCCTGTTCTTTACAGTGCTACAAATTGGACATGAATGGAATACAGTAGTATGCTTTACTTCGCAAATCAATATACACAGAAGATGATAGTTTAAGCTTTACTGCTGAATTGTGGTAGTAGTAATTGCACATTCCCTGGTATAACTTGAGTGAGTGAATATTTCATGTTTGCTTGCAGTTGGTTAGGCTAGTTCAATATGCTCTTTGTCATCTCTGCTGTGGAAGGCTGAGATCTGAAAAACTGTAGGAACCTTTTGGCTATTGTGTTACTCCAGCTGCAAATTCTGCATCTAGGTATATGTGGAGAGAAAGAGAAATTCTAAGCTCCAGCTAACTGATGATAGAAGCCTTGATTTTTGCTGATATGTCAATAATCAGTCATGTCTTCAACTGCACATTCATTTGCTAAGTCAATGGTAGTCCCTTGAAACAACTGAGGTGATCCCAGGTGCTCAGACTCTAAGTGTTGAGACCATCTTTCTTTTGATTGCCTTATCGTGAATCCTTCTGATTGTTATCCTTTAATAGATTTTTTTCTGATTTAGAAATAGCTGTTACTTTTGGAAGTAGGCAAGCAACTTGTTATTCAAGATGATGGCCTGTTGGGAATCTATTAACAGAGTCTCTGGAAAATGTCCGCGGCTGAACCAGACCATTTCAATCCTTTAGTCGTATTTGACTCTGGCGCAAAGATCCAACCACATATTTATGTCATCACCAAGACTCCCCATCTCCACCACTGAAGCATCAACTCAACTCGCCTCAGCTCATCTGCTGCCTCTAAGGTTGACTGTTGCAACACACTCCAAGTTAGACTCCCATCTTCCACCCTCCATAAACTTAAGACAGTTCAAACTCTGTTATCTATATTCAAACTTGCATCAAGTCGTAGTCACCTATCATTCTTTGGCTCCCATATAGGCAATGCCACAATTTTAAAATATCCACAGAAGTCCAGTTTTGGTCTGTGTACTTCTGTGCTCAACTTTGGTCCATCATTAATAGCTATGCATTCAGCCCTTGGCCTTGGAATTTCCAATTGAACCTTTTCAATTTCTGTCTTACCACCTTCTTTCCTCCCAAACAAATCTAAAGATGCTTCTTAAAACTTTCCTCTGGTGATCTGTCCTACTTTCTCCTTGTACAGCAGTGTTGGTAATGTTCCAATTAATTGCATTGGAACATTTCACCATGTTTCAGACACTAATTAGATGTAGTTGTTGAATGTAACATCAGTGCTGTGGATTTGTAATGCCCCCTCCCACTGCCATAATGTGGAAATAGCAAACAGGGAACTGAGTACATGAGAGAATACATTCATGGCTTTTTTTGGAATTGAATGCAGCAGCACAAATAATTTCTCTGTTTGATGATCAGAATCTTGCTTATCCATCGGTATTGTGGAGATAAATACTTGTTGACTAGTTACTGTGTTGCTAAGCTGAAGAAAGCCTATTAAAATTTCAATATAATGTTCCAGCTATCATAGCAAGTTGGATCAGACTGAAAAGACAGCGATCTAAGCTTACAAAGCTTGTGTGTGAACACGAGAAGTGTGGTTAAATAAGGGTGATGAGTTGCAGATGTAAATAACTACATGGGAATATTAAATTGCAGAGATGACAGATCTAGTTTTTAATATGGCAGTACTGGGTACTCAATATTTCTGGATACAAGGCCTTTAAGAAAGATGGGGAAGGTTAGAAAGGAAGTTGGGTGGCAATAATTAAGGAGAATATTAGTGCTAGAGAGGGAGGAAAGATGTTCTGACAGGATCTCAAACTGAACTTTTTTAATTATAGTTTAATAAAGCTGCCTCAACATTACCGTATATAGTGATTTTGTAGAGAAATTAGAGGTGTAAGGACAATAAAGTTATGATAGTTGGAGGACTTCAATTGTTGTAATAAACACAGGGATAGCAATAATGTAAGACCATAGGGCAGGAGTGTGAAAGGTGGTTGGGACAACTTTCTTGATCAGCACGTTTGCAGCCCAGCCAGGGTGAAGTCTTTGCCAGTTCTAGTTCTGGAGAATGGGGATATTTCAAGTGGTACAAATGTCTACAGGGCAACCTTGTGGGAATCATGATAATATCCAGAAGGTTAGTTACAGAAAAAAAGAACAACAGTCTATATGGGGTAATAATACTTAATTGGAGAATTATCTGTTTTAGTGAGCTGAGAATGTGTTTGCCTTAGGAAAATTGCAATCTAAGATCATTGAGCAAAAATGTAATTGAAAAATATACAGCCTTTAAAGAGGAAGTTGTTTGGGTATAATTGATGTATATTCCCATGCTCTTTGGCTAACACGAGCTATGATGGAGCCAAGAAATGGGTCATAGGACAGGTATCAGATTGATAGTACCAATAACAACCAAAGTAAATGTGAAAACTTCAGAGGTGAAGTAAAAAGGAAAATAAGGTAGGCAAAGAGAATAGGTCAGCAGCTAAGTTGAATCCAATTGTAGGCTTCTAAACAATGAAGAGATATTAGTGGATAGTAGGAGGAGAGATGGAATTGATTAAGATTCAGAAGAAGGGTCACATGGAAGCAGCAAGCAAAATTGAGGTATTTTGTCTACGTTTCCCTCGATAATGTTACAGTAAAATGGGAGCTGATTGATAAAGTAGATGACTAAACATTAACTTAAAGGAAAGTGGATGGGAATTCTGGCTGTGATTAAAAATAAATTAAGAACATTAAGACCATATAGGAAGTCTTTAGTTTCGTGAAAAAAGTAAAGGTGGAAGATGTGGGGCTACTTGGCCATAATCTTCTAATCTCCCTTAGATACAGGGGAGATGCCAGAGTTTAGAGAGTTACAAGTATTTTACCCATTCCTAAGCAAGAATGTAAGGATAAATCCAACAACTATCAGCCGGCCAACTTAACCTTGGTGACGGGAGCCTTTTTTAAAACAATAATCCGAAATGAAATGGTCAATCACACATTGGTGAATGTGATTCATTTTGGTGAGCAGAAAGAGGAGCAGCACCATACTCTAAAGAATTGAGTTCTGAAGTAGGTACAGGTATAGAAACAGGTATGTTGGGAACAAAAACTGAAATTGGTAGAAAAACTCAATAGGTCTGGCAACATCTGCGGAGAGAAATCAGTCAGTGTTTCGGGTTGAGTGGACCTCCTTCGGCAATTTCAGTTTTGTTTCTGATGTCCAGCATCCGTACTTCTTTTAGTTTTTTTGAGGTATTTTGGGGTATGTTTGCACAAATTATTGAATATGGCAGGGTGTTTCAGAGAACAGTGGTTCTTGGGCTTTGTATGTATGGGCATAGCGTACAAAGCAAAGAAGTTATGATGAAGGCTTGTAATATCTCAATTTAATCACAACAGAGTATTGTGCCCAATTCTGGACTCCATGCCTTAGGTCCTTAGTGTATAAAATGATTGAGGAATGAGGGACTTCAGTTACGTGGATAGATTGGAGCAAGGTAGAACGGAGAGGAGATTTGATAGCGATCTTTAGCATCCTGAAGGGTTCAGTTAGAGTAGATTAAAAAACTACCCTCATTGGCAAAAGGCTCTGTAAACAAAAGAGAGAGACATTTGAAGTGATTGGAGAAAGAATCTAAGATGGCATGAAGAAAATGGTTTGTTTTACTCAGCAGTTGGTTATGATCTTGAATCCATTGTCTGAAAGGGTGGTGAAGGCAGCCTCACTGGTGGCAAATGATTTATAGGGCTATTGGGATAGGAGGACTGAAACAAGTTGAATTGCTCCTACAGACAACTGACTTGGACCGAGCAGACAAAGATCACTTTCTGTGCCGTAACCGTGCTATGATTTGATTGCAGCAATCACTAACTTGTCGTAGCTTCTCTAAAAGTCGCAAACATATTTGCAAAAAACTTGGAAAGTTATCTGACCAATCTGATGTGATCAGTTTCTAGCAGACATTTCTGTCAACAAATGTTGACTGCTGTCTCGTCTTGAAACTAGTGACCGTCAGCAGACTCCCTGTATCTTTTCCAGCATTGTTTAAGGGTATTTTTGAAGAATGAATCTAGTTGAAGTGAATTTTATTTCCAAATTTGCAGTATTTTTGTCTATTAAAAATTTAAAATTAGAGGTATAATTTAGAAAGTTGCAAGTCAGAGTATTATTTCAATCACCTTACTTGTTTCAAAACTTTCTGATGAGCATATGTTTGCACCTTCGTGAGGCCTGGTGAATGTAGGTCAAATAGCACACTTAACTGAATGGTTACATGTATGTTATGTGGTTCCTGTTGATTCTCTTCAGACCATGTTATATTTGCTGCCTTGTGCACAAATCCAAATCACATTTAAGGCATTAATTGCTGTAGGATAATATTGTTTAAGCCTTTGACATGTTAATTAACGGTTTTTTTTTTGCTTAAAACCAATTCCATTTAATTCAAATTTGTACAGCTTTAGAGGTTGCAAATATGGTGCTTTGAATAAAATATTAAAAATCCCATGGCCTTAAGGTTTATTATTGCCAAAGTAGGTGAAAAATGCAAAGTGAAACTTTTGTGTGGAAAAATTACAAGGTACTGAATACAGTCTACCTTTTTTGTTTTGTGCAGTTCAACAGGCACCCACTTTTCAATGCTAGGAATTGGAGATATCGTCATGCCAGGACTTCTGTTATGCTTTGTGCTTCGATATGACAACTATAAGAAAGTTTCTAACAGTGAGGCTATTCCACCCAATATACCTGGTCGTATGCAAAAGGTGTCATACTTCCATTGTACTTTGATCGGTTACTTTGTAGGTAAGTGGAAGTAAAGTTCAGTAGAAATAAAGAATATTGAAAATTGATTCCCAGCGGCACAGGCACTTTACCTTAACTAGCAATGTGGGTTCTTTGCAATGTTCACAATGCTCAAATTTACATTGTTCATTTATGTATTAAATTTATTATTTAACTAGATAATTGTAGAAATTTAGGAAATATGATCAAGAATAGACCATTTCGTCCATCATTCAGTATGATGAGGCTAATCCTGTATCTTAATGCCATAACACTCCCTCTTCATATACCTTGATGTTTTTAGGGCATAGAAATCTACCTATTCCTTTCTGTTTAAACAAGTTAACATGACTTGCATTGCTTTTTCCTGGTTATAGCTGACCTCTGAAAAGACTCTACGGTCTTTTGCTGCTCTGCATCACTTGCTTAAAGGAGCTTTTAATTGAGATTTTTGAGTCACTTGCTTATGGTTTCAAGCTGCACCCTAAGACGTTAATGGATATCACTGCATTACGGAATTATCTAAGGGCAATGTTACTTTCTTTCTTCCACAGTAGTACAATACTGCATTGTAGAAGTATTCACCGTATAAAACCTGTTTTCTTTGTCGCACAGTTGGTTAATTAAGGATGTTCCTCCTCCAAACACTGCTAATTATTTTTGTTCTAGTGTAGTTACTGAACATTCGCCTGTATTCTTTTAAAACAAAATGCTTCTCACTACTTCCACCACCTCTACTACTTGCTGTTGCTTCCCTCACTTTTGCCACTCTGCCCTGAACCTTGTGTATGTAGAAAGTCAAATCAAAAGAAGTGGGGAGTGAGTAGATCGGAAAGGGAAGCAATGCCAAGGGGGACTGGGAGAGAAGCAGCATGAGGGGACAGTGGGGAAGAAGTGATGTCTGAGGCAAGCAGGGGAGCAGTGAGTAAGAGATAAATTTAGACAGTCCTTAGTCATTAAGAGTAACTAAGAGGATTTTTGTTCAAGGCAGCCAATAGATTTTTAATGTAAAAGTTACAACTAGCAGCATAAGCTTTATGGATTTAAATGTTTCTTCTGAACACCAAGACTGCTAAATGAGGCATAGCTATATAAATGTATTTTTAATAAATTATGGAGTCATGTTGATCTGTCCATTTTGGTATTTGTCTTTTTCTGATAATCTGACTCTTCATTTAGGTCTTCTGACAGCCACTGTAGCATCCAGAATTCACCGGGCTGCTCAGCCTGCACTCTTGTACCTCGTTCCATTTACACTGCTACCACTGCTCACCATGGCTTATTTAAAGGTGAGTAGAATATCAAAACCAAATAAACCGTCAATCTGCTGGAATTATTTGTTCAGCTGTTTACTTTAATCTTGTTTGTTACTTTTGCCTTCTCTGCATCCTCAATAGGTTTTGCTAAATCTTCATCCAATTTCATCTGGCATTGCTACTCTTGCATTGTCAGTTCTTCCGGCTGCATGTTCCCCTTTTTATGCAGCTGTGTTTATTTTACAACTTTATTTAAATTATCAAGGCCTGATTGAACCATAGTTTAATCCAATTTCCCTCAAAATTCCAAATCATTGGGAAAATGTGGTAAATGTTTGGCCTTGTGTTCAAGAAGGGTTGCAGGACAAAATAAAGATGACTTTCCTACAGAAACCAGGTTGGTTCTCTCAAATTGGGAGCAGGAGTACGCTATTCGGCTCCTATAGCCTGCTGTACTGTTTGGTAGGATAATGGATAATCTGATCATTCCATATTCCAGCCTACCTCCCAATTACCTTTCACCCCTTTACTTACCAAGAATCTATCTGCTTCTGCCATAAAATAATACGTAGACACTGATTCCAATGCCTTTTGAGGAAGAAATTTCCAAAACCTTACGACTTCCTGAGAGAGAATTCTTCGTCTCTGTCTTACATGGATGACCTTGTATTTTTACATGATTATCTGTTCTAGACTCTTAAAAACGAAACATCCTGTCCACATCCAATCTCCTGAGACCCTCAGGATCTTGTGTTTCGATCGTCACCTCTTACTCTTCCAAATTTCAGTGGATAAAAGAATAGCCTGTCCAATCTTTCCTCATTAGTCAACCGACCCCATTCCAGATATCTGACTTGCAAACCTTCTCTGAACTGCTTCCAATACACTTCCATCCTTCTATAAGTACTCCAGATATAGTTTCCCAGTGCCTTGTATAACTAGAGCATTCTGCTGGACTTTCTTCAAAGTGATTAACTAGATTGACGTAGAAAGTAGGAGCACAAATAGACCATTCGGTCCTTTGAGCGTACTCCACCATTCAGTAAAATCATGGCCAATCTTTTTGTATTTCCAATTCCGTCTAATGCTGATAACGCAATTCCCCTGCCAAAGGAAACAAGATGCAGTCCACCTATGTCTTTAAAATATTCAACAACTCCACCTCCCCAGCTTTCTGAGGCAGAGTTTTCAAAAGTTGCACAACCCTCAGAAAATAAATTCTCATTTCTGTCCTAAAAGACCAACCCCTAATTTTAAATGGAACAAAAACAGACAGTTCCTGAATTGTTTTAAGTTCTGGTAAGGGCATCTAATCTGGATCCATAAAATGTGTAAGATTTGCCACGATATCTCATCACAGGAAGTCTCTGTTTTCCAGTTGATTTATCTCAATGTTCAAATGCACTTTCAAAGGCTAATAAAGAACCTGCTTGATGTAAAGGAGCATCCTTCCTATCTTTAGCTTCTGAACAATTTTATTAGTAAGTAAATTTGGGTCATTGTTTTTCTTGTGCAATCTCATATTTTTTCCACTAAGTGGTTTAGCATACTCTCAGTTGATTGCAGTTAGATATGTGCTATATAACACACACTGTGGAGAATAAACATTAAGACTTTGCTTATAAACAGTTAGCAAATTATGTGCATGCCAAGGCGTGCTCATAGAAGTATGGAGCAATAGAGCACAGAAAGGCCATTCAACCATCTTCTAAAGAGCTGTCTAATTAATCCCACTCCCTGTAAATTATTCCTTTTCATTCTTTCTCACTCTACCTGCAACTTTTGACATGATTGACAGCCACCATCATCATCATCCCCCCAACAGCTTTCCACATGGGTGGGAATGCCTTCACTAGGTTACATTCTTAACACCCAGCTCTATCTCATCACCTCATTCAGCTCCTTCACTGTTGCTGACTATTAGATTGCTTATCCAACATCCAGTATTGAGTGAGCAGAAATTTCTTGCACTTACATGTTGAGAAGACTGAAGCCATTGTTTTCAGTTCCTGCTACTCCTGCTCCCCGTGCGCTGCACATGTACACAGCCACTCTGATGTTGACGCATGGTGATGAGTGTTGGCATGCCAATCGTGGCATTGACATCCAGTTCCAAAAGTTACTGCCAGGCGCCAGCTTCAGAGGCCCGTATCGCTGGTTTAAACAAAAAAAATTAGGGGGAATACTATCTGCTAACCAGCCCTATTTCCTGAGCTACCTGAGGTTATAAATTTATTGCATTAGAATTTCAGAATTCGGCCATTTGGACTCTAGTTTCTGACTTTTCAGGTAGTTCTGCCACACTTTTTAAAATCCTTAATGGCCTTGACACTCACCATCTCTGTAATTACCTCCAGCTACAACTCTCAAGAATATTTGTACTTCTCTAATTCTGCGCTCCTCAGTATCCCAGTCTTAAATGCTCTCCGTTCACGTCTGTACATTTGGATTTGGGTCTAGGTCTGGGATCCTCCCCCCTTTAAACCCAGCTGCCTCACAGCTGCTCTCTTCTTTTAAGTAGTAAATTATAACAGCCCTCTTTGACAAAGCTTTTGGCCATCTGTCTTGTGTGGCGGCTTTCAGGTTTTGTACTGTAACACTCGTGAAGCACCTTGGAGTGTTTTACTACGTTAAAGGTCTTATAACGCACAAGTTATAATTGACAGCTATGTTTTCAGAATAGGCTGATGCCATTCAGGCCCTACAGTTGTCAGGTAGCATCCCATAGCTGTTACTTCTGTTGGAATGATGCCTTGATATGCAATATATTTTAAAGTTTTGTTGAATTGATTTCAGCAAGTGGAAAGGGAAATTGTAGGTGATCAGAATCATCATGTGCATTTTAATTTTATTACCCTTGGTGTGCGAAAATGAGGTTAGCTGCAGTTGTTTACACCAGGAAAAGGAGCATGAGTTCTGATGGGTTAGGAAGATCTGTCCCTTGTTTGCTTCCATTGTTTGGCATGTTTTATAAGCTATACTGCTGCTCAGCCTGGGAGAGTACTTGTTTTTAATAGTATAATTCTGCCATGAATATCTTGAGCTCCTTTTCCTTTTTTGAATGCAGTGGATTAATGAAGGGGACTTGTATTTAATAGCTACGCTCTCTGGCACATTTTTGCCTCAGTGAGAATGTTAGGAAGCAGATTACTATACACAGTCGTATCAGTAATTTAACAATTAAGGCAAGTCAGAAATCATCCCCACTTCAAAGGGTCACCCATGTTTTGAAAGAGCTTTTAATGACTGAAGAAGGATAGACCGGGTGTACAGAGTACAAAGCTATCCAGCCAGACTGGAGAAGCAGCAATGACAGTGAACCTAGTGACAGAGGTACTTTTAAATGTATTTTTCTGGTGAGGTTTTGCACTGAAATGTCTGGGAATTCCTGTACACCAGTACTTGTACATGAATCATAGTAAGATCAGATCAATTCAAAATAAGCAGGTGCAGAATGATTCTTGCTCCGTTTTGTGGCAAACCTACTCCAGAGTCGTCATATACAAAATAGGAGCAGAGTAGATGGACCTGTCATTCAGTAAATTCATGGCTGATGTGCTTATTTCAAATTCCACATTCCCATCCACTGTGCTAATCTTTCATCCCCTTGTCTAGCACAAATCTCTCCATCTCTGCTTTACAATATTTAGTGACCCTATCGCCTCCACTGGCTTCTGAGGCACAGAGCTACAAAATTGCTCAGCTCTCAGAAAGAATATTTCTACTCATCCTTGTCCAAAACGTGGGACCTCAAATTTCAGCACCTTTTTAGCCCTGGACTTGACTACAAGGGGAAACATCCTTTTCCATGTCCATCTTGTCAGCATTCAGGATCTGATGCACTTCGTTCAAGAATTGACTGTATAATCTACATTACTGAGACAGGTGCAGTCTTTTTTATGAGACTTCAAATTGGGAGCCTGTGTCATCTCCTACAACTATTAAAAACCCCACGCAAGATTTCTCTGCATACTCTCTCTCAACCAAGACCACCAAATCAGATTACCCAGTCATCTATTTCTTTGCTGTTGTCCTGTCCAAATGAACTTCAACTTTACATTATTAGCTGTGGAGCACTTTGGGATGTTCTGAAGGCAGATATCAATGCAAGCTCTTTCTTAAGCGATCTTAAAGCCAAAGAGAAACTAAGAAGAAACCTAGATTGAGAGAGTTAGAGTACACCAGCACTGGAGGGCATGAAAGGAGCGCACAGAAGGCCAATACTGTAGACTAAATGTACAATTAAGCCACACTGGAGTAGGTTGCAACAATGGGTTTTGACATGGCTATAGAAAAGTTCTCAGTTGAGAACTGAAATGTTTTATTTGTGAATTGATGGAAAGAGTATTAGAGTAGGTGAATGATATCTGATGTCGTAAATGAGCAGGACAGTATTTGGGTAACAGGAGTTTGTGTGCATTGGTGTCTTGGAGGGTGAAGGATAGAAGGACACAATAAAATCAGTCATGTAGTGACAGTAGTGTGTAATAAGCTGTTTTTTGGCTGGAGGGTGCAGATGGCATGAGTGGGGAATAATGGAAGTGGATGTCAGTAGTTTTGGTGATTGAGGTTGTAGACTTGCTCGCTGAGCCGGTGTGTTTAGTTGCAGACGTTTTGTCACCCTGCTAGGTAACATCGTCAGTGCGCCTCCAGTGAAGCATCGGTGTTCTGTCCCACTTGTTATTTATATGCCTCGGTTTGCTGGGGTGGTTGGTATTACTTCTGGTTCTGTTTCTCAGTGGTTTGTATATCGGGTCCAGTTCAATGTTTGTTGATGGAGTTCCGGTTGGAATACCAGGCCTCCAGGAATTCCCTGGCATGTCTCTGTTTGGCTCGTGCTATTATGGATGTGTTGTCCCAGTCAAATTTGTGTCCTCCTTTGTCCGTGTGCATTGAGACCAGTGAGAATTGGTCATGTCTCTTGGTGGCTAGTTGGTGTTAGTGTGTCCTTATTGTCAGTTTTCTTCCAGTTTGGCCTATGTAATGTTTCTCACAGTCCTTGCATGGTATTTTGTATATTACGTTAGTTTTATTGGTTGTGGGTATGGGATCCTTTACATTAGTCAGTAGCTGTTGCAGGGTGGTTGTTGGTTTGGGGGTTACTCTGATACCTAGGGGTCCGAGTAGTTTTGTGGTCATCTCTGATATGTCTCTGATGTACAGTAGGGTGACTGGTGTGTCTGGCCATGTTGTCGTCTTGTTGTGGTCTGTCACAGAGGTAACGGAGGATTGTGCTTTTTGGGTATCCATTCCTTTTAAAGACTCTGTATAAATGCTCCTGTTCTGCTTTGCACAATCCCAGGTTGCTGCAGTGTATTGTGTCTTGGTTGAATAATGTCCTGATGCAGCTGTGTTTATGGGTGTTAGGGTGGTTGACAGTGTAATTAAGTATCTGGTCCGTATGTGTGGTCTTTTTGTTTACGTTCTGTATAAGCAACCACCCCAACACCCATAAACAGAGCTGCATCAGGACATTATTCAAACAAGCCACAACACACTGCAGCAACCTGGGATTGTGCAAAGCAGAACAGGAGCATTTATACAGAGTCTTTAAAAGGAATGGATACCCAAAAAGCACAATCCGCCATTACCTCTGTCACAGACCACAACAAGAAGAGACAACACGGCCAATCACACCAGTCACCCTACCGTACATCAGAGACGTATCAGAGATAACCACAAGCCTACTCAGACCCCTAGGTACCAGAGTAGGCCACAGACCAACAGCTACTGACAAATGTAAAGGATCCCATACCCACAACCAATAAAACTAACGTAATATACAAAATACCATGCAAGGCCTGGTATTCTAACTGGAACTCCATCAACAAACGTTGAACTGGAACTGATATACAAGACACTATAAAACAGAACCGGAAGTAATACCAACCACCCCAGCAAACTGAGACCTGTAAATAACAAGCAGGACAGAGCACTTCACCAGAGACGAACTGACTATGTTACCTCGCAGGGTGACAAAACGTTTGCAACCAAACGCACTGGCTTGGCGAGTGAGTCTATACAACCTCATCCACAACCCAAGCTGCAAATCTTCTCAAAAACTTTAAAGTTTTGGTGATTGTCTTGGTTTTAAGCCTGGCTAATTGGTCTGCATGGTCTGATTCAACCTGATAGAGAGCTAGAAGAGGGACAGAGACTATTTCAGTGGAAACACAATTTACGATAGGATTGTAAATAGTGACTTGGGTCTTCCCACTGTTAATGCATGATCTTGATGGAGCAAAGGTCGTCATAGAAAGATTACGGTATTAACAGTATGGGGTTTGTTTGCTGACCTGCTGTAGAGACAATGCGATAATCGGTTTTGGGAAAGCACCACACAGCACTCTTACAGTTTTGTATTTTGTGTCCTATACCATCTATGGGTGTGCATGCTGTTTGCCGTTAATGTAGTCACAGATCAAATGTGTGAGACAAATTCCTTGCTTTTACTTTAATCCGACCTGATGCAAAATCATAGATTCATGCTTTCAGGGTTTAAGATGCTAAGATTATTTGTATGAAAAAGTGAAAGAGTTACATTTGTCTGCAGTCAGCTATATTGATGAAGCAGAAAAGCAGATTTACAAACTCACAAGTGAGAGACTGTTGTGTGTTCGGAAAGACAGATATCCAGATTGTATTACTGGATGGTCCTTGAAACATTTCACAATATAAAGGCAACATAAAATGCATTAATATCCACTTCTTAGAAGCACCTGCTAGGAATCCATTGGTTTCTTTTGAGCACAGGCTGAACGAAAGCTTGTTTTTGTTGATGGTGGGATTGAGATGTTGTATTATTTTGGAATGCTCTTGTAAAATAATCCTATCTTTCACCAACATTTGCTTGTGTGGTTTGCTGTTAAATTTTGTTTGCCAACCTTCCTAAGTATCTTGGTACATATTTTCACATTAAAGGCATTTTTAAATGCACATTATTATTTGGGTAGTCACTATCATTTGTGTCATGTAGTGTTTGTTTCCTCAGGGTGATTTACGGCGTATGTGGTCAGAGCCATTCCACTCCAAGGCAAACAGTTCTCGATTCCTGGAAGTATGATAGGATGAAGTGCAGCTAAGAGCAGGAATGACATATGGTGGGCACCAGAAGATTTGTGTCATGTGGTTTCATTCTTCTCATCAAGCAAGATCGGTGCTTAAATTGTTAACAAAAATGGTTGTGGAGGAATTTTCTTTTCCTTTTATGGAATGCAGACCTTGTACAATTAATCCAACCCATTTGCAGTCTTTGGATTAGCAACAGACACACGCCCTACCATGTATATTACAAATGAAAAAGGAACAAGAAGTCCACCTTTTTAATGACAAGATGTCAAAACTAATCTTGTACATACAGCTGCCATATAGAAGACGCAACTTGAAGAAGCCTGTTTAAAGGGACCAGCACCAAGTCAACGACCGTTTGGTTTGTCTTGAACTTTAGCCTGAAGAAGAAGACAAGGCAGCGACATATCTTGAATTCCGTAATTATCTGTGCGGTGACTCCTATTTCCTCCCCTCCCCCCACAGACACAAGTTGGGTATGCAGTAAAATCTATGCTGTAATTAACTTTACATCTGATGTTTTGTTGCAATGATCCAGAAAGGTAAAGACGCCAAGATGAATCATGTTGTGTACTTAAATGGCCTGTTGTAAATTTTAGCATGTATAGCATTAAATATTGCTTCAGTATAAGACCCACTGTTCCCTGTTCCAAGATGCTCTTTTACCATAATATGTGACTTTAAACACGTAATTGTAGTTTGCACTTGTACCTGTGTTCATGACCCCAGTTGATCTTGCACAATTATGATTGGTGTAGCAAAAAAGTTAACTTTTTATGGTTTTCCCCATTTCTTTTCTTGGTTTGATTAATTTAGCTAATGCATGTATCATAGCGGTACTCGTTATCTAAACCCTCTTGATTGTAGTGGTGTATCCTTGTAAATATTTCTTTTTTGTATACATTTGTTTAAATGTGCATTGTTAGCTCTACATATGTTGATAAGTGTAATCTTGTCCAAGTTTACAAGCAGTATCTGTTTTGTACCTTGGGTTTGTATTCAGTTCACAGAACTTTTTCTGGTAGACATTGACTTTGGCTGCTGTGGTAGCAGCAATTTAATATACAATAGAACGTGAATCAAACCGAAGGTTTGCGTGCCTCTAGAATTCCCGTCATCATTGTGTGAACAAGATGGCAACTGTAGTCTTCAAGCCCAGAGATTTCCTAATAGAGTGCAAGGCCTGGAACCAAAACAAATTAATACAAACAATGCTTCAAATTCTTCTTCCATGCCCACTTCTTCCTGTCCCCAGCCCCCGACATGTTCTCCTAAACATACACCCAGAGTGTCAGGTTATTATTTTTTAAAGATGGTATTGTTTTCTTGAAAACAACTGAGTGTAATGTTATCGTGCCGTAGACTAGACAAGTTGATGAAGCCATTTTATAGATTCTGGCTTTGCTCAAAGCAGTCAGATGGACTGAATGAGTACTGTACAATCCTTGTACATCAGGTGTGTTTCTGGCCCTGGAAATGAACAATATCTTTCATCTCTACATAACATGCGCAGTCAAGATTCCTTTGTAAATAAAACCAAAAGTTTAAGTGCACCTGTGTGGTTTATTTTGTAGTGTTCTGCAAGGTTACTTTTTATTAGAATTGGTTATTTTTGTTTATTGCAAATATCCTTTAAAATGGATTTTTTTGGGATTGCATCGATTTGTGAAGTTGATGTCCTGCCAGGGGGGAATCAGCTTGATGAATGTTGATGTGAACACATTCACCTTAAAAACCTCTCTGTGCTGAAAAACATGTATCATAAAAGTTACCTTTGTTGTGTTCAATATGGCAGAATTTCATTAGATTAAAAAGCTAAATCACTGCAGAAACATTTTTTCAGTTACTTTTCTGCAGATTATAAAATACTTCTAAGTTGCTTTGGTTGGTGAGAAGTGGTTACTGCACACACCCACTTGATGACCATTCAGAGGTGTGAACAGTCAGGCAGAAACTTCCAGCATTTGCAATTTCATTTTGTGTACACTCCTAGCAGCATTCCTCCTCTCTCACCCCTCCCCCCTCAAGATATGATACTGCTTTTAGTCATACCATGTGTGACACCATAGACGCGAGCAGAATTAGGCCATTAGGCCAGTCAAGTGCTCCGATTTCCCAACCCTTTTCTCCTGTCTTTTCCCTGTAATCCTTGATTCCCTTACCGATCAAGAATCTCAATTGTAAAAACACAGATGATTTTGCCTCCACGGCAATGAGTTGCACAGATTAACCACCTGCTGGCAATAATTTATAACGTGCCAAAACACACCAGCTATCTTAGCATAACCTTTCAATGTAGTGTCTTGAGATATTTATTAGACAAAAGGATTGTATGGAGTTAAAGTAGGAAATACTGGTGAAGTGAGGCTATAAACTTTGTTAAAGGACAAATGTTGGGAGGGAGCAAGACACACTAAGCAAAAGTAACAAGGGGTCCAAGGCTGCTATTTCAATGAAATAGGAGGAAATGTGGCTAAAATCTCTGCATCTCCAATTCCTGGCCCAGTTTGTTTTTAGTGGGAAAGGTTTTAATTCACTTTGTTTTTAAAGTCAATCTTAATCTTAATGAAGCATATTATGACCTTCAAACATTCCAGCACTTAGTCCATACAACTAGTTCATCATTAAACATGTTAAAAATAAATTTAGAAATGCTGAGGTTATACGTGAAAATTGTTCACTATCAGAGCGTGGAGGATTTGTGCTTTTGGTCAAACCTTCTAAATCCTAACTTTCTGAAGCCCCACAAACTGTAGTTTCTCACTCACTTACTCCTAGCAAAAGCTTAAAACAGCACTTACATGAATCCCACACGCTGCTGCAGAAAATATCACATCATATGAAGTTTATAGTTTGGAACTAACTAATGTTATCATCTGACTTTTTTTCTTTTCCATTCTTCCGCTGAAAGAGATGACTGGCTGAATGAACACTGGTGTTCATCAAACTTCCAGTGTCATATAGAAATGGCTTTTTTCAGACATGATCTAGCCTGTGAGACAAATATATTTGGCTGATAGTTTCGGTGCTGCACCCTTTCTCATTTGATGGTATTTTCAGAGCTGGGAAAATAGGATGGCATTTGGCAAACCCAGCCTACTCCCCCTTCTCGAGTATAATCATGACCGATGTATATCAGTTCCAGATTATCACAAATTATTGTTAATTTCTTACTTACCTTAGTATCCAAACATTTATCAATCTGCAACTCGAATATATTCAGCAGTTGAATCTCCACAACTCAATGGGGTAGGGAATTTGAAGATTCATAGTTTTTTTTTGAATGAAGCAATATTTCCTCTACCAAACTGAAATAGCCAACCTATCTTCCCAGACTTCTGAGCCGGGGCACTATTATTCCACCATTCCGCTCGGTGAGTCTTCACTGCACTCCCTTTGGGTAACGGGGAGAACTGTACATTTGCGTTAGGTGTGGTCTCACCAAAGCCCTTTTCAGCTGCAATAAAACATCTTCACTCTTTGCACTTCAAACTGTCTGCAACGAAGGCTGAGATGTCAATTGTATTCCTAAGTGCTTTGTCTATGTGTGCCAAATTTGTGATTAGTGTACAAGGGTTTTTTTTGAATACCAACATTTCAGGCTCGGTTTAAAAAAATGTTCTGTTTCGTCTTCTACTTCCTCTTGAAGTAGATAATTTTACATTGCCCCACGTTATTTTCTAACTCTCATGATGTTGCCCACTCAACCATTTATATCCTTTTGCAGCCATTTTATGGCCTCCGCAAACTAGAAGTCATTAGATTTGGTCCCCTCACCTAATCATCTTGGTTTTGTTCCAGATCAGTACTCAGCAGAGCTGTGGAACGCTTTTGATTCCTTTGGCAGGGAGGTTTTAAGCTTTTCCCTATTTCATCAAAGATCATTCTGAACAAGACATAACTTGGGGTAGCACAGTGGCTCAGCAGTTAGCACTGCTGCCTCACAGCACCAGGAACCCAGGTTCAATTCTAGCCTTGGGTATCTGTGTGGAGTTTGCACATTCTCCCCGTGTCTACGTGGGTTTCCTCCCACAGTCCAAAGTGCAGGCTAGGTGGATTGGCCATGCTAAATTGATGTGTAGCTTAGGTGGGTTATAGGGGGATGGGTCTGGGTGGGATGCACTGAGGTTCAGTGTGGACTTGTTGGGCCGAAGGGCCTGTTTCCACTCTGTAGGGATTCTATGAATGTTGTCTTCAAACATGTATGGCTTGAAATGCCTTTTCAGTTAGCAAGGTACAGAAACCTTCAGGAACTGTTTTCTGGTAAAGGAGACATTTCTTAACAGTAGTACCCTAACTGATATGCCCCACCACCTTTATTTAACCGATCCAAATATAATCTCTATGTATGACTACATCCCAATCAAAGAATCAGAGGGTACTGCACTTAAACTTCAGTCATCGAACATGCTAATTCAGCTTCATTCCTATTTTCAATATTTGGTATGCCAGAGCTAAATTTCTAATATTCAAACAAAAGAAACAAAATCATTAATTCTTTTAAAATGCTGTATTTCAAAAGGGCTGCATTTATTGCCAATGCCTTCAATATGGTAAAATTAGCTTGTCAGTGTATGCTTTTATTAAACTTGGAGCACATTTAAATTGATCCTGTCTTTTAAAAAATCTGCATACTTTAATCTCATGCTTCAACAACAACTCTGTTGTCGACAGAGCCCTCAACTCGGTCTGACCCATCTCCTGCACTTCCGTCCTCGCCCCTTCTCTTCCTTCCTGCAACAGCAATAGGGTTCCCCTTATCCTCACCTACCATCCCACTAGCATCCACATCCAGAAGATCATCAGACATCATTTCCGCCATCTCCAGCAAGATGCCACCACCAGACACATATTCCCCTCCCCTTCCTTGTCTGCCTTCCACAGGGACCATTCCCTCTGGGACACCCTGGTCTGCACTTCCTTCACCCCCAACACTTCCCCACAGCCCTACGGCACCTTCCCCTGTAACCGGTGAAGGTGCAACACCTGCTCGTTTACCTCCTCCCTCCCCAGTATCCAAGGGCCCAAACATTCCTTCCAGATGAAGCAACACTTCACCTGAACTTCCCAGAATCTAGTCTACTGCATTCACTGCTCACAATGTGGTCTCCTCTACATTGGGGAAACGAAGTGTAGACTTGGCGACCGCTTCGCAGAACGTTCTGCTCACAAAAAAGACACTGAACTACCTGTTGCCTGCCATTTTCAACACACCACCCTGCTCCCTGGCCAACATCTCTGTCTGTGGCTTGCTGCAGTGTTCCAGCAAAGCTCGACACAAGCTGGAAGAACAACACCTCATTTTCCGCTTGGGGACCCTACAGCCCTCCGGACTCAATATTGAGTTCAATAATTTTAGGGCCTAAATTCTCCCATGTCCGAGCCCCCCACCCCACACACCAGGCCTTGTTACCACATAGCCTGCCATCACACACCCCCTGTTGTTAATCACTAATAGTCCCCATTAACAACTATTCACCCTCCCAGTCTGATCGTTAGCAACTCCTTTGTCTGTCCAATTGTCTTTCTCTCTCTTTGGCCTCTATCCTATCGTTTACTCCCTACCCCACCCACCTCCCCATTTTCTGCATATAAACTGACGTTTTCCCAGCCACCATCAGTTCCGAGGAAGGATCACCGGACCTGAAACGTTAACTCTGATTTCTCCTTCACTGTTGCTGCCAGACCTGCTGAGTTTTTCCAGCGATTTTGTTTTTGTTCCTGATTTACAGCATCCACAGTTCTTTCGGGTTTTTTTTAATCTCATGCTTGTTTATCTTACATGTACCCACTTCTCTTGCCCCTGAGTTAGAAGTTAAATATTCAAGTTCTACTCCAGAGACTTAAATACTAAATCTAGGCTGATGCTGCACTGAGCAGAACTGAAGGAGTGCCAGGCTATTTGAGCACTGCCTTTTAAATAGGCCCTGTCTACTCTTAGGTGGATGTCAACAACACCCCAGCACTATTTTAAAAAGCAGGGACATTATCTGTGTGAAATATTTATCCCAACATGTTTTTTTCTCAAAACTAGTTCCATCATGTTGTTTCTGGGACATCATCAAAGACTTCAGATAATTGCATGTTATTTCTGTCTCATATATATAATGTAATCTCTCATACTATACTTCTCGCACACACTTACAGAAAAGAAACCCCAAATAGTGATTGAAAGCAGGCAGTTGCTTAGTTTCCATTGGGCAGTGACTGTTGGAACAACTCTCAGAATGCTGATCTGTCGCCTCTTGATAGAGCTAGGAGTTTGGATTCTGTCAACACTGTTGCTTTTCTACAAGCAATGGCTTCAGACTCCCTAGCTAACCACTAGCACATGTGACTTATTTGGGATATTATTTTTTCTTCCCTAGTACTCTACTTTTTTTTTTACAAACTTGCCCCTAAATTGATGTTCTTTGAAATTTTATCAGATAAAAATCCCTTTTCCAAACCTTGGTAACTTTGAGATGTATTCATGATACTAAATAAATATTAAAATTAAACTGGCAGGGTACTCAAACCTGTTCCATTTTACAAAATATATACATTATAGAAT